CCATTGAAGAGAAGTTGAGAAAAGGAGCTCGTGTTATTGATTTAGGGTATGTATTTAGGTTATATTTATTATAAAAAACTGATTTGTCATTTTTTAATATTATTTTTTTTAATATAAAAAATAATAAAAAGATGTGGAGCTGGAACTTGGATTTTGGTAACAGATTTTATTTCTTCATTAGAAATGGTTACTTAAATCAATATATTAATTCGTGAAAAATAGGATATGGCAAAGCAATATCCTAATTCAATGTTTTTAGGAATAGATATCTCCAATTTTTCCAACAGAAGGTCTTCCTTTAAATGTGGAGTTTATCGAGTGTAATATATTAGATGGATTACCATATAAAGATGCGTCTTTCGATTTCATTCACCAAAAATTTTTGACTACTGCTTTTACGCAAGCACAATGGGAAGAGAAAGCTATCCCAGAAATAACAAGGTTAACTCGACCAGATGGATGGGTTGAAATAGTAGAAGGTAGTGTTTATTTGATATCTGATGGAAACGCTACAAAGAGAATTTCAGAAGCAGGTAAGGAAAGCTATTTTAGTATCTTTGTATCGTTAATTAAAATAACAGAGATTATTTAGCCCAAAATTTCTTGAAGTCGAAGGGAATGAACATTACAATCGGGGAAGATATTCCGCGCCTTCTTGAAAACACAAACGCGTTTTCGGAAATTAAATATAAAAAAAAAGCTGTAGTTTTAGGCAAGAAAGGTGGTAAATCTGGGGAAGAGGTAAATATGTAACTAGCGAATTTATTCATAAAAATACAATGCTTTATCTAACATAAATACTCTTTCTACTTGCTTGTACACAAAGACTCTAAGATTTTATATTGCTGGTTTCGGCTCTGTCAGAATCGTGTTATCATCTAATATGAATTTAATGCCCGAACATTATGACGCTCTTGTAGAAACAATCTCTATTGAGGCAGAAAAAACTACATGTACTACTTATGTGGATCAGTATCGAATTTGTGGTCATAAGAAATGAATTAATATCATTCGATATTGCAACTTATAATTTTAAAGATCGTAAACTTTTACTCGATAAGCTTTTCTCGTTTTGAAAATTAAAGATATACTTTTGTGATTTGAAAATTATAATTTATAGCATATGCAATATGTCGCTATGTCTTCTTCTATTTACTAAGAGTAGTGTTAGTGTTATGGGCCCAAAAAAGATTAAGGTTATATTTTTAGTCCCCTTTACTATTAAATTTGGGGTCCTGCAATAAATGCGATAATTTACAAAGCCTTGTGATTTTTAATTGTCTTTTTTTAGGATTCTGTAATTTATTGCAGGATTCCAAATTTAATAGTAACAGGGACCAAAGATATAATCTTAAACTTCTTTGGGTCCATAACCTTAACCCTATTCTTAGTAAATGGGTAACATAGTGACATATTGCATTGTTGCGATTATGTTTTGTTTTAGCAAATTAAAGGATTTATGTTGCAATAAAACTTTGAGAGAGATTGTTAGACTGATCAGTTGCTTCTTTCAATATATAGATATCATTGATTATGTCCATTTGGAGAATTTATGTGTTTTTGGTAGATGTTTGGGGATTTCAATTATTAGCTAAAAATCTTATTTCTTAAACTGTCCTATTGTAATAAAAAATGCTTATGCTAACAATAACTAAAACAGAAATAATCTTTTAAGCAATATATTACATATAAGAAAATTATACAGTAACCATCATAAGTATCTAACCGCCCGTAATTTTCATAGATCATATATGTAATGTACCAAAATTTTCACGTATAAAGAACTATATAAATATTGATAATTTATGCCTTTTATATACTGGTAAACTTCTATATCAGATGTTATACATTTGTCAAAACTCTTGTATTATAAATCAATCAGACATCACGAAAGTTATGATTTTTTTGGTTTTTATTTCCAAAGTGATTACTGGCTTGCCTTTTTTTGCTCTATCGCTATGGAAAATTAAGCACCACTGAAGCCCAAATTTTTGAGTTCGAGAAGGATTAAACAAAAAAACAGAACTATTACAGTCTTACTTTACCAATTTTACCAAAAAATCTCTCGTCACAATTTTATATTTGCCAGAAAAATTAGAGTAATATTCATGATATCTACAATATTTAGCAATCCAATTCTTAGCACTCAGTGATTCAATCTGAACAAAAATGCTATCATTTGATTCATCTCAACCAAACAAATCAAATGATAGTATTTTTGTTCAGATCGAATAATTAAATGTTGAGATATTGCATAGTTCAATTTGTTTGAGGTTATCAGAAATAAATCGGTCACTTTAGATGTAGTATCTCAATATCTAGTAATCTGATTCGAGCCAAAATAATACCAATCAATTTATCTCAACTAGGCAAATCAAATAATATACATGTATTTTAGCTCAAATCAGATTATTAAATACCAAAATATCGCATCCTAAAGTGGCCAATTCATTTTTTTCAATAATCAATCACTTTAGGATGAAATATCTCAATATCCAGTGACCCGATTCAAATGAAACTATTATCATTCGATTTATCTAGTCTAGACAAATCGAATAATAATAGTTTCATTTGAATTGGATCACTGGATATCGAGCTATTGTATCCAAAATGATTTATTTCATTGTATTATAACATTAAAATTTGACGAACATATAATTTTTAATATAAAAGTTTACTGGTCTATAAAAGATATAAAATATATAGTTCTTTATATGTGAAAAATTTTTGTATATTATATATGATCTATGAAATATTAGAGAAATCAGATACTTATGATAGCTATTTTAAATGCAAGCAAAAATGTAGAACAAAATATTTTAGCATTCAATTTTGTATACTAGATGGTTTAAAAGATACTCATAAATAAATCTGATATCAATTGTTGTTTTCTCTAGATAAAAGTCTTAAACTCTTAAAAATATTATAAAAATTATACAATAATGACTGTTACAATAATATCATATTTTCACATGAATACGATTTCACAAAATAATGTCTTTTTAAGTGTAAAGAATTTAACCAACAAGCAATACACTATCATAATTAACGTGAAGAGAAGAGAAAATGTTTTACAAGCAATAATTTACTTAAAGAGAATAATTGTATGAAAAATTCAAGTTTAATTTTGCTTGGATAACAATTGTACATAATATGAATTCTGTTTTTATTAGTAGCTTGTAGGCTATTTTTTTATACTTTTTTTGTATTATAATATTTGTTACTTTTAGTTATTAATAAAAATATTTATAATGAATATTTTAATATTTATGAAAGAAATTGATGTAAGATGAATTTAAAACTAAAAAAATATATTGAAAAATAATGATAATGCTAAAAATACTAAATTGATAATAAATACTGAAAAAAATACTAAAATTAATGATAAATACTATACTTTAACAAAAATAAGCATGAAGAAAATCATAATTTTATGCTAAATATAAAAAAAAGAAACATATTGTTTTATCTGTATATAAAGCTGCCTTCGGGTCGGGTCGGATCGGATTTGAGGTCAACCCGAACCGATAATTTCGGGTCGGGTCGGATTCGGATCGGATTTGATCCGAAAATCTTAAAATAGTTTTTAGTTAATAACTTTTACTTTTACTAAGACACTTGTATTTGGTGTCTAAGTAGAGTTGTTCGGAATGCAATTGTGTATATACCCACAAATTTTAGTTTAATTCCAATTAATATTGAACGAGAAATAACGATTTTTAGGCTGATTCGAAATATTTCGGGTCGGATCACGGATTGGACCCGACCCGGTTGAAGCACTATCTGTATATCAAGAAAATTTATAATGTAATATTGCTATTTTACTAAAAAAATCTATAATTGTATTATTGATAATTATGATGAAAATTTGCTGCAATAATACTGAAGAATTTACTGATTTGGAAAATCTGAACATTATTGATAAGTATAATGAGAATTTGCTAATTTTGCTAAAAAAATCTACCATATCTGGAGATCTGCAGCTTTGCTAACAATTATAATGAAAATTTGTAATATTATAAACATATTCATCTAATATTAGTAATATTTATAACTTGTCTTCCAATATTTTATTTTAAAAAGCTATAATCAGAGAAATTTGTTTGTAATAATAATAATATATGTAATAAAGTATAATAATTCTCTTTATTTTATTTATTAATTTATTATTATATTTATAAATCTTGATAATTTTTGGTATTTTATTTTAGAAATATCAAAATACAAATAATATAAATATTTATTTCTTTATTTTACTAATTATTTAGCTATTCAAATAATATTGTTACAAGTTTATTTACTAATATTAAATTAGCTTACAAACTTGAAACTGAATTGAAAGAGAAATTAAATAATAAACAAAATATTAAAAGAAAAGTAAAGTATTTAAAAAAAGGAATATCTAAGTTCTATATCAATTTTTACAGAAAATTATAATATAATAATAATATAGAAGAGTTATAAAAAAGTAAAAATTAAAAAAGAAGAAAGAAAGTATATGATAATAAGAAATAAATAATAAAAAGAATTTTAAAATGCTAATTCTCTATACTTATGTCAAGTTTTCTAAAACCAAGATAATATAATTAGTAATAACAATAACAAAAACTCTTTTATTTTATTCTTCTCATAAATAAGCAATATTAAAATATTAAATTTAAAAATAACAAAATCAAAAGAATAAAAATCAAAATACTTAATAATTTTAATAATAGTGATTTATTTAGTATAATATAATATAACATTAATAATTTAATATTAGTAATTTGTTTAATATAATATAATATAATATAAAATCCAAAATTAATAAAAATATTTTATTCAGTATAATATAATTCAAAATTATTTATATATAAGCTTTAATATATATAATTAAAAGTAAAAGAGATAAATATTGTTTGAAAAAAGATTTTTGTTAAGAGAAAATTTTGTTTTTTATTTGCAATATATTAAATTAAGATTCAGACAGTATTCTATTTATATATTTTTAAAAATATAATTCTAAAATATAATAGCTAATTAAAAATAAGATAATTTAATAAAACTAATAAGAGAATAAGATAAATAACAAAAAGTAATTAAAAATAATAAAAGTTAATCAAAATAATAAAAATTAATCAAAAATAAAATAATTTGAGAAATTTTTGCTATTATACAAATATTTTTGGATATTTTATGTTTTTTAATTATTTTTAATATTAAGAATTTTTATATTACTACTATAATATTTGATTTTCCTTCAAAGATTTTGCTTTGCAAAATTAATTTTGAATATCTTTTTAAATATTTTTAATTTCTTAATAATTTAATTAATATATTTTGTCAAATATTAAGTTATATATTAATTATATAACTTTTTTTTTATTTGAAGGTTTTAAAAATTCTCATAATAATTAAATATAATTATTTACTTAATTTTTATTTAATTATTTAATAAATAATTTATTTTAGCTTTTGAAATTGTTATTAATATTTAATTGGATAATTATAAGTATTTTTTCAATTTTAAAATAATAAAATAATTTTTGTGTTTTATTTATTTTTTTGTTATATATTATTTTTATCTTTTTTAAGTTCTAATTTTTATTTATTAGTTGATTTAGATTGTTATTTGTTGATAATTTTAGTTATTAAAATTAGATTTATAAATTTAGCTAATTTTATTATTTTAAATATATTAATAATTATTATATAAAGAATTATAATTTTTCTTTATAAATAATTAATTTATCAAAATCTTTAAAAAATTAAATACATGTACTTCTAAAGAGAGTATTAATAATTATAATTCAAAGATAATTATATTATTAGAAAGAAAATTATTGAAAAATTCAGAATATTATCAGAATTTTTGAGCTATAATAAAATATTATTCATTATTATTTTTGATTATAATTTCTTAAATTGAAAAAAAAATTATTTTGTTTGGTTAATGTAAGAATAAATCTTTTAGTATCTTAGTAAAATATTTTTTTATGTGTAATAAAATTTATTTAAATA